TGCAGGATGGAGGACCTGGCAAGGACAGCTGTCTAATCGTTCCGACCCGTGTATACATTGGCGTGCACATAAAAGATGCCTTGGCAGTTGGAATTCGATATAAAAGTAGGCTATAGTGCCGCTGTCCGGGCAAAATTTCCTTCATAGCACACTGTATGGCGTATGCCTGTCTTTATTAACCCAGTATAGGAGCAGACTAGTAGGACGTTAAACCCCATTTCGTTTCACTAGAAATAATCTATCATATATCATTAGTGCTTACCTGTTGAAACATATAGTACAACCAATAACAATAAGAACAGGTGTTAATGCTTACCTGCTGAAACATATAGTACAGTCAATAACAATAAGATCAGGTAAGACATGGTAAAGGATGATCTGAGTTCTAACGACAAAACGATTGTGGACCTTTCATGTTCTGGTTACACAATAAATAGATTTTAAATTAATACGTCAGAAGCACTCCTTGGGTCTATATACACAGTCATAAATATATCTTTCTCGAAAAGTGTTTTGTGATATAAGAATTGAATGCAGTTTAGATTGGGGGTCACGACCTTAAAATGTTAATAACTGGGGACATTCAGTTTTGATCAAAAAGCTATGACTTGATAGAATTGCTAGAGCGGCGCCTGTGAAGTAGAAATAACCGAATTCCGGACATTTCGATCTTGTATTCGAAATGACATTCTTTAAACATTGAATGTGCATTTTGCTCAATCTGATTAAAACACAGATCCTATTTCGTTTCGTTTTTTTATAGTTCAAAATTTCGTTTTACTTGTCTTCACTACACTAGAATCTGGAAGAGTTGTTCTCTGACCCGCGTTTTGGTTGATATGAGAGATTAGTCAATGAAACGGTCTGTTACAGAGAGTTCTTGGGGTGCGATGCACGGTACTGTGGGTATCCTACTAGAAACGCTGGTTGGTTAATCAAAACTCTGAGGTCATAGGGTCAAAAGTCACTCGTATGATCCCTGACGCGACCTCCCACTACAACTGGTCAGATCCTCATGTAGTAGAGATCATCGATTTAAGTTCTTCGGTATTTTCTAGCCTGGGTTTCCCTTTGTCAGGGGTGCAAGACAGGGAACCCAGCAAGGATCGAGTGTCTAGTGGTTAAGGTGGTTGGAAAACCCCAGGTCCCATGTGTACGTTGGCGTGCAAGTAAACCCATTCTTGACAGATAGAACTCGATGAAGAGCATGCGCAAACGCTGCTGGTCGTGAAAAATCGCCCTCAAAATCGTTCGGCAATCCAAGGTCCCGTGTATACATTGACGTGCACGTAAAAGAACATTTGACAGAATTCGAAAGAAGAATAGGTCGTAGCGCCGCTGCCAGGGCAAAATTGCCCTCATAGCATATGGATAACGTATGTCCGTTTTTTTATACTCCGTTTATTGTAGAAAAGTAGGGTGTCAACAACCGGTAAGGTCTAAATATTACGGCCAACTGCAGATTTGGTCAACGGTCACGGAATGTAAACAGGGCTAGGGCTAACCCCAACCCTAGACTTACCCCTAACCCAAACTAACAATTTCAACAACAATCACATGCCCTAACCCTGTTTACATCTCGCGACCTTTTTGAAATCTGCAGTCGATCTTAATATTTAGGCCTGACTTACGACAACACCCATTCCATGTTATTTATTTACACTATCATGGTATTATAATAAATATTTCGAGGTTGTAATTTATATACAAGATTACACCAATGTTAATACAGGGAACATTCCAGAAACCATATTAACAAATTATCCTCATATCAAACAGATCTAACTGTTTATTGGTATTTTGTTTTATTTATTGCAGGGAGACAAATGTCAAATACGAGAAAAATCAAACAATGTGTACAGATCCTACTCAACGTCATCAAACAATGTGTACAGATCCTCTTCAACGTCATCAAACAATGTGTACAGGTCCTCTTGAACGTCATCAAACAGTGTGTACAGATCCTCTTCAACGGCATCAAACAAAATTAAATGTATTACTATTCTGTATATGTCTTAAAGCTACGTTCCCAGAAAATTATTTATCGGGTGGTTATTTCCAATAAAAGTATGGCAATTTTGGTATATATGGAATTGGGGGGGGGGGGGGGGTCACGGTGGCTATGTGGTTAAGACGCTGGCTCTATAGCCCGGAAGTCGCGTTTTCGATCCCTGCATTGGCTGAGAAAGTTCATCGTGATTTTCCGGCGTGGTTTCCCCTTATCAGTGGTGCAGGACGGAGGGCCTGACAAGGACAGTTGTCTAGTCATTGGAATGGGATGAACAACCGAGGGCCCGTGTACATATTGGCGTGCACATAAAAGATCCCTTGACAGTTGGAATTCGATATAAGAGTAGGCCGTAGTTCCGCTGCCCGGGCAAAATTTCCTTCATAGCACACTGTGGGTATGCACGTCTTCATTAGCCAAGTCGGAGCAGAACAGTAGGACGTTAAACCCCATTTCATTTTCCTTTCTTAGAGGAGTTAATCCCTCTTCTTTCGCATCTACAAATGGACATAAATGGGTTGCAAAGCATATAATAATGTACTACTATGAATGTATATAAACTGATTTACATTCAATCATTTCTATTTATACTGTAATTTCTAATCAGTTATGTTCACGGCGACATACGCGAAGAGTCCACATTGAATGGCAGTCTTTGGCGTCTGGTTATTCCAGTCTACATCGAAAATATTCTCCTATGGTGTATGTTTAGCCTCGTTCATCGAGTCGCTCGGAATCATTCTGACACACGATTCGTGTGCCAATTTAAACATGTTCATTTTATCTTAAATATTGGATATCAGAAGTCCGCCTTTTCACGGTAAGATAACTCCATCAATGTTGATTTAAATGACAAATAAGTCGTGTTTGAGAGATGTTGAAGATTATGAATGAAACTGAGTAAAAGACATGCCTCCTTTGACTTCAACAAGTCAAGACACGCAATTCGTAACGGACAGTGCCAGTATTAACGTTTTATTTTATAACCGTTGTTCATCGCGGTGTGGGGGATCACGTGGCTAAGTGGGTAAGACGCTGGCTCGCTAGCCTGGAGGTCGGGTGTTCGATCCCTGCATTGGCCGAGAAAGTACATCCAGATTTTCCGACGTGGTTTCCCCTTGTCAGTGATGCAGGACGGGGGGCCTGACAAGGACAGCTATCTAGTCCTTCGGATGGGACGAAAACCCGTAAAACGTAAAAGATCCCTTGGCAGTTGGAATTCGATATAAGAGTAGGCCGTCTTCATTAGCCCAGTATAGGAGCAGAACAGTAGGACGTTAAACCCATTTCATTTCATCGCGGAGTTCAGTACATCACTGGGAAATTACAGACTTGGCAGGCTGAAGCCGGGACCCAAGATCTAGGGGCCCTCCGCTCAAGGTGTACAATATTTTTGACACTACCATAAGTAGTTTCTTAAACGCACCTTAGCCTTAAACATCTGTTATCATCCTCGGCTTTCATCATTTGTCTTTAAAACAAACTTTCATCTTCCTCTAGTCGTGAGGGCGGGGGAAGGTTGGGTTGGGGGCTGTGGGGATAGGGGGCTCATAAGTGGAAAAGCCTTGATCCTTTCTTCATCTAACTATTCAGCCACGCTTTAAAGTTATAGAGTGCAGATATACTTTAATATTAAACTCAATCAGATTTTAAATTTAAAAAGGTTTGCTTGGCTAATTAAAAGTAGATTTATTTGGTGCGGGGACATATTTGGAAATGATATAATTCCTGGGTTGAGGTAAACCGTTTGTGGAATGTGTATGTAATGATAAGACTTGCACTGAATGGTCGGTGAAGACGCGATCCATGTGATTGTGATATGTAAATATATAGATATGGTGATCCGTCCATTGGGTGATTTATACAGTTTGTGGGAACGAATACCTCTGTTATCTAAACAGTGAGAATAATTTACAGCCGACCTCCCCACCGCTCTCCTACGCCGTCTTGCGCAATTGAATTAGTTTGAATTTATACATCGGATATTTTTAATATTTTTATCACGTGCAGGATAGCGTTAAAGGATGGGTATTGAAATGGACACCGTCCGTCGTTACCGTCGTCTAAGTTCCGTTTCCAATGCATTATTTATGAATCTATTATTAGTCGTGCATTTCGCTCAATCTGATTAAAACATAGACCCTATTTCGTTTTGTGGCTTTTCTCTTGGTCCCATCTATCTCTTTCTCTCGCCCTCGAATGTTTTGAGTTTTAAATGGCGGACAATTATTTTCCATTTCTGGTGTTAATTACTTTATAACATATACTTGTTTGAGTTAAAGGTAAATGAAATGGGGTCTAACGTCCGAATAGGCTAATGAAGACGGGCATATGTCATTGTGTCCTGCGAGGGAAACTGTACCCGGGCAGCGGCGCTACTCTTATATCGAATTCCAACTGCAAGTGATTTTTTACGTCCCATCCGAACCTGTATACGTTGTCCAAGGCCCTCTGTCCTGCACTACTGATCAGGGAAAACCACGGTGAACTTTCACGGTAAAAAAATACGGGTAGGCCTGGAAGGAGAAAAGTGTGACGTATATAAACGAAGTTTTTCGGGCGAATTGGCACGTCGATAATTTCCAAACCCTAGATGAGTGTTCGGTGAATTTTTATAGTATGATGTACAGGGAAAGGTCATCTACAAGTTTATACCAATAGAAAGGAATTTGTGCTGGTCTTTCAATATTTTTAGACCGTTTCTAAAGCCAAAGGAACTGCAGTCTGGTGTGGTCTTTGCCAGGCCCTTCGTCCTACACCACACCATTTAGGGCCGAGGCCGGGGCGGGGGAATGCCGGAAAATCTCTATGTACATCCTCGGCCAACACCGGGATCGAAACGGGACTTTCAGGTTAGCTTAGTGTAGGAAATACAGACACGTCTCCCCTCCCGCTTTCCCACCCCATTTACTTGTGTTTAATTTGGTTAATGAAGGATCCCTTCAGTGTATGCTCCCCCAACTGTAGCTCTTCTGTAAAATAAAATCAACGCAAGTACAACGCATGCAAAATGGCGGAAGATTTTGAGAAAACTGCGGATGATTTCCAAAATATTGATGAAATAGATGAAGAAATGGAGTCTGTGGATGATGACAGCCAAGACAAGGAATCAAACAGCAGTGATGATGACGAATTAGAGCTTGAACTTGTTGGGCAACTGAAACAAAAGGTCCGCTTTATTGATCAATTTTGACATTTTTTTCAATACCCGGTAACGGGCCTGTAACTTACAATCGTCAATCCGACGCTTGTGTCGTGACTGTGAGCACGGCAAGTCGATGAAGATGTCAATAACTTTGTAAAAAAGAAGAAAAATAGAACTGTTAATCTTAGATTATCTTCATAGATAGATCGGATGCCAGCTGTTTCGTAACCTGTATAGATCGATGTAATTTATAATTTAAATATGTAATGTTCAGGCATTGCCAGAGATTTGTAAGAGCGGAAGCTGATGTGATTATTGTTAAATATAAAACCTTGCTTCATATATTCATAATTAAGTTTCTCAAGTGATGCAAATAATGTTAAATAATTTCGTTTTTCCGAATTGATTTTAATTTAGATCTAAATTGTATGATTAATTATGAGATTTATTTTAATTATGAGATTTATTTTCAAAAATAGCCTATGTGACGTCATTGATTAGACACATAATAGAATCATAGAAATATTTCTATGTGACGCGTGATCTCGCTTGGGCGAGATTTGGTATGTTGACATGAGCATTGCCAGTTTGCCCAGTGTATCTGGTTTGTATAAAAAAATTTTTAATCAACAGTCTGTCTGTGACAGTTTTAGTTATGCTCCTGTGTGTTACTGGAAAAGAGCTTTGCTCAAGCACCGCGCTTTGCGCGATGTTTTAGAGCTTCACTCTATATTAAGGTATCCAAGTCTCTAATTTAATGTCATCCATTGATTGATCCAAAGTCTTCGGCATTGAAAACATGAATTATTTGTCAATTTAAATCAAAATTGATTTTGTGATCTTACCAGGAAAAGATGGGCTTCTGATATCCAATATTTAATTAGGACAAATTAAATATTTTACCATTGGTATACGTACACGAATCGTGTACCATAATCATAATGCCTTTCAGCGCCATTTGTAACAAGGGACTTGAAGAGCGAGACTAGACATATTCCACAAGTCATGTCAAACAGTGGCACCATATTCTTATCTCGAGAGCATGCTCAATAAATACTGTTGGTGAATACTGGAATAACCAGGCGCTAGAGATCGCCACTCAATTGAGACTTCTGGTGTATTTCACCAAGCATAACTAATTAGAAGTTATAGTAAATTTAAATATGTCGTTATAGTTCCATGATGTAGTAAGGTTTTTGAATGTTAAATACAGTGAAATTTAACATGGCATCTGAGGGACTGTCAGATTTACCCACAACAACTCTGATTATCTAAAACAACCTGTATTTTAAATAAAACAACACATTTTTATCATATTTTCTTTCATTTTGTATGTGTAAGGGATTAATATTCTCTAAAGCAAGAAAGACAACTCTTATTGTCATCATCATAGTGATTATGGAGTCAGGCTTGTAATTCTCTCCCCACTGATTCAATATTAAATCCATAAAATTTCATCCTGGCCTATAACATTTTTTTTAACATTCCGGTGAGTTTTCTTAATCTTTATAACCACAAAGATCCCAACAGAAAGATTTGATGATAAAGTGCAGTTTCGAGCAAAATACAGGTTGTTTTGGGTTAATGTATGGAGGAGTTGATATCAATACAGTCCAGATAATGACATGAACTTAATGTATTTCAGATAAAAGAAAGTCCTTACCTATATGATAATCATACAGAATTAATTAAACTTCTGAAAAAACTGGGAGAATTGGACGAACTACGAAATGCCAGAGAGAATATGAGCAAATTATTTCCTTTAACACCAGGTAAATTATAAAGTAGACTAGACACCATAATCATGTTAGATCATGTAAATAGTAAACAATATCAGTCATATAAATAGTAAACAATAGCAGATGTATAAAGCCAGGAAGAAAAAGTACATGACATACAAAAAAAATTCTCTTTAACTGTTTAAAAAAAAATTTCTTCATCGTTCGACTATTACAACAGATTTTATTTTCCTCATTTAGATTGCCACAATAGACATGTTATGCAATGTGACCTCCACTTACCTCATCTTCAATAGAAGGCTTGATCTTGCTTCATTGTAATACCCTACATATTTGGGTATTCACCCAGCTTGAGAACCTATCAGATTTCTTGATCATCGCGAATACATGTACCAAGTCTCGCGCTTTCCAGGTAAAATGTATACCTGCGATAATTGAGTTGCAAAGTTCAAGGTTCGTTCAATGTCAAGGTTTCCGTGGAGGTTGCTATATTTGATTTGAGTATGTTTGTGTCACAACCTCTGATTGGACGCTACTGGTCACGTGTGTGCAGTAAATAGAGATAACGTAGCTATAAGTTCGGGAATTGTAAAGTAATCTAGCAACGTCTAAATGTTGTAAAACTCGCAGTCGTTGCTTGAGGAACATGATGATGCGCCCCTGGATATTGCCTGTGACCTTAACTTCACCGTTTAAAGGGGAAGACCAACGATTTTCAATAAGGTTTCCATAAATAATAAATATATATTTAGAAATAACCCCTCCTATAACATATGCAAAAAATAATTTGTAAGCGAGAAATTAATTTTTATTAATACCGGAAGTGACGTAGTTGGTTCGACACGCTCACTGGTCACTATAGTAAACATACAAATTTGGAGTAAGTTTAGCGCTGTATTTTGTGATCGTTTGGCAGAAAATCTGATGAAAGGTAATCTTTATTAGGATATTAAGAACAAGAACTTACGGTGTTTTGAAGGTATAATATACAACGCGTTTGTGTAAATTAAGTTTCTAAACTGGACACTGTGACACAATTTAAGCCACATGGCTAATTGTTTACATCACATGATAGCTGGCACGTGACAGATATTAACCGAACACAAATTGGCGACCTATTCGGCTAGCGACCTATTCGACCGATCCAGCTGGCAACCTGTTCGTTGGCAACCTATTCAGAATAAATTCAACAGTCGCCCAAACTCATCTATTTTTATCAACCAATAAAATCCAACGTAACGTCTATCAAATGAAAGTAGAATATATTATCATTTATCCATTCCTTTAGCTCAGAATAGAGATGTAATTTCGCATTATCTTACAAAATTCTGGACATCCAACTAAATATATTCCGAAAGCTGATTAAATAAGCTTTCGAAATATTATTAGTAAAAGTTGGCACAATCATTTTAAAGGGGTGCGCTCTCATTCTGAATAGGTTGCCAACGAACAGGTTGCCAGCTGGATCGGTCGCCAATTTGTGTTCGGTTAATATCTGTCACGTGCCAGCTATCACGTGATGTAAACAATTAGCCATGTGGCTTAAATTGTGTCACAGTGTCCAGTTTAGAAACTTAATTTACACAAACGCGTTGTATATTATACCTTCAAAACACCGTAAGTTCTTGTTCTTAATATCCTAATAAAGATTACCTTTCATCAGATTTTCTGCCAAACGGCGAAACGATCACAAAATACAGCGCTAAACTTGCTTCAAATTTGTATATTTACTATAGTGACCAGTGAGCGTGTCGAACCAACTACGTCACTTCCGGTATTAATAAAAATTAATTTCTCGCTTGCAAATTATTTTTTGCATATGTTATAGGAGGGATTATTTCTAAATATATATTTATTATTTATGGAAACCTTATTGAAAATCGTTGGTCTTCCCCTTTAACTATATAGTGTATTATTATTTTAATACCGTACAGAGTTATGGTTAGATTGCCTGTGACCTCGACTTCACTGTTAAACTATATGATATATTATTTTTTTGATACAGAGTTATGGTTAGATTGGATAAAAGATGAGTTGAAATGTTTATCTGGTGAGACGGAAGATAGAGAAAAGATCCACAAGTTATTCAACCTCGCTGTTCAAGATTATCAATGTCAGTATAATAACTTTATTAATATCCTAAATAATCAATCAACTTTTTATTACACAACTACCACGTAACAAAAATGTGCTCATGTGCATTTTACACTTAGAGCAAGACATTCTTACATTTCTATAATAAATCCAATCTGATTAAAACACAGATCCTATTTCGTTTCATTTTTTATAGTTCAAAATTTCATTTTATTTGTCTGTACTACACTAGAATCTGGAAGAGCTGTTATATTACCCGTGTTTGGATGATGTAAAGGATTAGCCAATGAAATGGTCTGTTACGGCGGGTTCTTGGCGTGCTCTGCACGAAACTGTGGGTGAACCCCTATAAATGTCAACGTTGATTGATTAATCAAATATTGTTTAAACTAATGTCTGATGTCATAGAGTCAAAAGCCACTCGTATCACCCCTGACCTCCCGGTACAACTGGTCAGATCTTCAAGTAATGTAGGCCATCTATAGTATAAAAAAAACGTAATATAGATCTGTATTTTAATAAGATTGTAATAAAATGTGATAACAAAGATCTTAAATAATCATGTGCGTTGTATCATAATGTCTGTCATTAAGTTTCCCCAAAGCAGTAGGTTTGCCTGTCCAGCCTCATGGGTTTTCTCCGGGTCCTCCGGTTTCCCCCCACCGCTTAAGACCCCTACGCACAAACAAATTATTTAGATAAAATTGAACCATGTTAGTCCCGAAATGACTTTAGTTTGTGTCCAGTGGACGTTAAACCCTCTAGCTCTCGCCTACCATTATTGTCCCTTTTATTTCTGGTTTTTTTTTCAATTAGCCGTGCCACTGTGGTTGGAATTTGCTCAGTTTTCCATTGGTGAAATGTCGTCAAAAGATGGAATGAGGAAAACGAGAGAAACTTTTGAAAGAGCAATTACAGCTGTGGGTTTACATGTTAGTCAAGGTTCTACGATCTGGGAAGCTTACAGAGAATTGGAGAACGCAGTCTTAGCTACATTAATGGTGAGTATTGTTATACACTTACATTGATCGGTCGTTCACAATTGGTCGGTCGTCCATAATTGCTTGCAGAAACTCTAAAGCAGTGGTGGGCAAACTACGGGCCACGGACCAAATCCTGCCCACGAAGCCTTGTCATCCTATCATATAGTTACTATTACATGTAGTTCTTTCCAACAATATTGGAGTTCATTCCCTTTTGTTCATTCCTTTTATTATGAGTTATTTCCCTTTGTTAAATAAATGACCTGTGACCTTCTGGTGAGAGGTGAAACTAAGATGGAATCGTTAATGAAATAGTGAAGTAATCTATCAACATCGAGATTCCACCCCATTAACTGATCCCAACACCACAATCCGGCCCGCCAGACCCTTCCACTGCATCTCAAAATTTATGATTAACTTATCTCTAAATGAATTAAAAAATCGAAATTGATTATTGTTTGGCCCAAACTCTGAACATGGGTTACTCTCTGTAGGATCAATAACCTTTGTATGTCTATTTATAGCTTGCAGCATCACTCATTGACATCACATGACTTGGGTCTACTTTCATTTTACGTTATTGTTTAATGTGTTGACATGCTTTGGTTTTTCTCTTTGTTTGGAAACTTTGTGTTTGGCCCTTCACCGAAATGTTTGACCACCACTGCTCTAGAGGCTAAAGTTAATATCCGATTGACTTTAAATTTATACACAGTGTTTAAGGTCATGAGACGAAGAACCTATCTTTATCGTGTTGGGGGGGGGGGAATCATGTGGCTAAGTGGGTAAGACGCTGGCTCGCTAGCCTGGAGGTCGGGTGTTCGATCCCTGCATTGGCCGAGAAAGTTCATCCAGATTTTCCGGTGTGGTTTCCCCTTGTCAGTGATGCAAGGACAGCTGTCTGGTCGTTCGAATGGGATGAAAAACCGAGGTCCCGTGTAAATATTGGCGTGCACGTAAAAGATCCCTTGACAGTTGGAATTCGATATAAGAGTAGGCTGTAGCGTCGCTGCCCGTCCAAAATTTCCCTCATAGCACACTGTATGGCGTATGCCCGTCTTCATTAGCCCAGTTAAGGAGCAGAACAGTAGGACGTTAAACCCCATTTCATTTCATTTATTGTGTTGGGGTACGAATGGTCTAACGTGCGCTTTAGATACATGGCAGTTGAAGATATGGCAAAGACTACTCCACACAATATCTCGGCCATGAGATGGTCTAGAGAGTTGATAATAAATTTGTCATGTTAATAAATGTCTAATTTATGATTTATATAACATTTGAAACCAGAAAAAAATACTTGCAATAAGTAGATTTAAATTTTAAATAATGCATCTTTAATGAATAATAAACTATATACATAGAGAATCTCCTATGAGTCTTTTTTGATATCAAAAAATATCAACACAAGTTGAGAGCCTTGTTTTTTTTACTTTATCGACGAGTGTTGGTTGATATTTTTTGATATCAAAAAAGACGAGTAGGAGATTTTATTTATCACCCAATTCTTTCTTACATTCACAAATAAATAAATATAATTCTTTGCTATAGATTTCACTTTTACTGAATCTGATTATATTACGGCGTAGTGATACATCATTTCTTGTTTTTTCAGCCAATGCCTGGTAGTGTAGCAACACAAGAGCAAGAAGAAGCCTTCAGTGCTCAGAATCAACGAGTTTCTTTATTGTTTAAAAGACAACTGGCTATTCCCTTATTAGGTAGGCACTAGCCATACTCAGTTTGATATATAATATTAGAGTGGAGGCGATATGATTATAACTGTTTTGTAAAAGATTTTTTTACTATGAAATCACGATGTACATTGAGATATTTCCCTGTCTAGCTATGAGTACTCTGATAAAAGATTGTTTTACTATGAAATCACGATGTACATTGAGATTATTCTACACACAGAGATCCATCTATGTCATACTTCGAGAATAGATCTCTGTCCTAAATGGCCGCCATATCCAAAAATGAGTATACTGTTTTGTAATGCGTTTCTACTCCGTTTCAAATCTGTCATACACACAAGGAATAAATATACTTTTTTCAAAGTTATTAAATGGAAGCAGAATAAATACTCAACAAAATTCTCCAAATATGCTTAGTGTTTTTCGACTAAAATCATCGATTTAGGACTTAAAATGTCGGTCAATTACCTTAGTGTCTGTTCTCAAGCTTAGCTAACTGTAGACAGCCTAAGTTTAGTATGCATTGATTGAGATATGCCTAAGGGTATAAATCTTGAACTTGTTTTGCAGAGTTATCTTTCCATTTTCATTTTTGCTCAAGTTCTGAATGGAATTTTTAAAAACTCTGTTCTTAAGTTTGTTCATATTAAAGGGCTTAACAAGCTGCCTACCTCTATATGTTAAAACATCCTTTAGTTATAAAGTTTTAATGTTTTTACAGATATGGATGAAACTTTAAGGCTTTAACAAGATCCCTATTAGTTATAAAGTTTTGATGTTTTTACAGATATGGGTGAAACTTTAAGTGAATATAAGGAATGGTTATGTGATGAAATTGATGCCGCAACTCAAGCCAGTTATAATGCAGCTGTTAAAACTCTCGAAAAATTAAAACCGTTTGAGACAGCCTTGGTAAGTATCCCAAGCTCAGGTCTAACGGTTAACGCGTGTGCATAAAAACATAAATTCTGTCATTGAGTCAAGTGCCGTGGATTTCGATTCCCTGCTTGTAGGTGACAAGGAGTAAGGTCGACTGTCCAACCACATACGTTTTCTCTGGGTACTCCGGTTTCCTCCCTCTGTTAAAGCCCCCTAAGTTCAAGTAAATCATTTAAATGAAATTGAATCATGTTAGTCCCCAAATGACCTAGTTTATGTTCACACTGGCCAGAGCTGACTGACAATGAATTGATCAGATTACTGCTGTAAATCTAATTTAAAGTGCATGTTTTGCTGTGGTTATGCGAAGTACAATAATAATAATAATATAACCCTTTATAAAGCGCTAAATCCTTGTTTTGAGCTTGGTTAGATTGTGGCATAAAGTAATTACTGGCAATCATTGTAGAGATAGCAATGGACGACTTTAACTGCTGGTGGGCATACCAGTATTATTAGCTGATCAGTGTGATATTATTTGTGATCGGTATTATTAGCTGGTTTGATTTAAATATGGTTATGAATGTAAGTTTTATATATTGTAGTTAAGAGCGTCGGCCCCGAGATGGGAAGAATATCAGGCGTATATAGAACATGAAATAAAAGAGGGTGATCCATCACGTATACAGTGTATATATGAACGAGCTATCACAGAAAATTGTTTATCTCCAGAAATATGGCTACAATATACTAAATATCTGGTAATATATTATACAAAGATATAAACTATCTCAATCCTAGAGATAACTTGACCCTTCGTGTATCTCTGGTAAAACTCGCCGGACATTAATCAGCGTGAAACCGGTTCCTAAGCTCCGCCCTCAGTGGCTACTGATTGGCAGGATTTGTTAGAATGAAATGCTGTCAATGTCTCGACAATTAGGCATCGGTTCGTTGCTTGAGATACATATTAATGATCCTTGGAACATTTTCCACGTCTTGACATCAAAAGTTCATTCGAAAACAGTCAATTTAATGATTTACCAGGAACAATTTTTATCGCATGATGTGAGTGATTCGGCTAAATATGTGAAATTTCTGAAGATACACGAGTTTGAGCCGCCATCTTGGATCTTTGTGAAGTGACCGATGGAAGGATACATCATGTGACATTCATAATGGCCGGCAAGTTTTACCAGAGATAAACTTATCTCTTGGATTGAGATTGTCGTTTAATCTTCATGTGTATTTGAAATATATACAGTGTGTGTGATATTTCTTACACTACTGATCAGGGTGAGGAGGTGGGTGAGTGATCAGGGTGGGGAGGTGGGTGAGGAGGTGGGTGAGTGGTCTACCCCGTATGCTTTGTATCATAAGGTCCGTCATTTAATCAAGTGGCTTGATTTCAATCCCACCCTTGTACATCATATATAACCTGTTTTGTATTAAGCCGATTTTAGATTTAATATAGAAATGGACTTACGTTTAATCTTCTGAACCATTAAACTGAATCAAATACGCATTGCATATCAATTCAAAACGATATTGCTCATATAACTGCCGAAATAGGATAAAAATATTTTTGAAAAATTAGTTTGCTTTATTTGTCAAATCTAAACTTTTACCTTTCGCGTTATACGATGTATAATTAAAAACAAATTTGACTCTATTTTAACAGGTCTGTTCATATCTTAAAAGACTTTCGAATTCCGACTCATTTTGCTATCACGGATCAAATTCGTATAAAATGTTTTATTTGTATTTAACAGGACGGTAAATTAAAGATTAAATCTGTTATATTACCGGTGTACGAGAGAGGTGTCCGCAACTGTCCATGGTCTAGTCAAATATGGCACAGTTATATTCTAGCTTTAGAAAGACATAAAGAATCTCCAGAAATAATAAAAAGTAAGTTCTTACCAAGGAGCTTCAACTTCTGAATTCCAAGTCCAAATTGTCTCCCTTATTCTTCCTAGAAGACAAGGTGTCTTTTATAATTTATTAAATAAACATTACGCAAGAGCTAAATTTGCCTATTGCGGGTCTTTCTTTAGGCCTTAAATGTTATATAAATTATTAATTAGACATTAATTAACATGACAAGACTATAATCAACTCTCCAGTGGACTTAACCCTCTCTCTCTCTATCTTTGGGAGATGGATGGCCAAATGGTTAGCATGTGCGTGCTACATCGCGCGCACAGTCTGTCATTGAGTCAACTGGCGGGGTTTCGATTCCCTGGTTGTACGTGACAAGGATTAGGGTCGCCTGTCCAACCTCGTGGGTTTTCTCCAGGTCCTCCGGTTTAATCCCACTGCTAAAGACCCCTACGCTCAAACGAATTATTGAAATAAAATTAAACCAAATGTTAAGTCCCGAGATGGCCTAGTTAAACCCCATCTCTCTCTCTCTCTCATGAGATGATATATATATATATATATTTATAGGTACAGTAGAAAAGGCTTTATCAAGTGGTTTTACACAAGCCAGTGAATATTGTACAATCTGGACATGTTATTGTGATTATCTTCGTAGACAGATCAACTGGGATACAGGTAAATACTCATCTACCTGTTTGTACCTGTGACCACGCTTACCTGTAGAATTTCTGTGAAACTAAACAGTTGTAAGCCTGGCACTTGTTATCTAATCTAGACAGACCATTTTAAACTACTCAACTAATTTCAACAAATTGCCTACAATAGTTTGAAATTAAACAATAAATACAGAAACTACATGATACCCAATTTGTATTGGTCATTCCCTAACTCAAGTTGCCATTATGTTGCAAATCTCAGCCTCATGGCAGCCCTATTATACTTGTAACCGCAAACAGCCATTCAAATATATATATTTATTGATTGAAATATACATGCACATTAGGCCTGAATATTAATTAAAGGTCTTTACTAGGGGGGTTGGATGGCCGAATGGTTACCATGTGTGCAGTGTATCATAAGGTCTGTCATTGAGTCAACTGGCATGGTTTCAATTCTCCAGTTGTACACGTGACAAGGAGTAGGGTCGCTTGTCTAACCTCATGGGTTTTGTCCGGGTCCTCCGGTTTCCTCCCACTTCTAAAGACCCCTACACACACGCGAATTATTGAAATAAAATTGAACCATGTGTTAGTCCCAAAATGAACTAGCTCGCTCTCTCTCTCACTACTAAAGTTAATAGGTTTTATTATTGTCCTTTGTTTTAGATCATGAACAACAACTAGAACTGTTCAGAGAAACCATAGAAAAGGCTTTGGACAATCTCTATGAATGTGAGTCTATTTGAATAAAAGGATATTAAACATACATTATTCAAGAGCTAAATCTGTCTATTGCAGGCCTTAAATTTTATGAAAACTATTAATTAGACATTTATTAACATGAAAAGACTATAATCAGCTCTCAATGCCACCAGATAGGTCCGATTTTAAGTAGGCTAAGACTCAAATAGCCAGTACCGTGGTTACGATAATTAACACTCAATGCACACATCTTGTCAAAATTACAAACATTGATAACTTCGCTCAGAATAAAGTAATTTGAATGGAATTTTCAATATATTCATGTTACATTATCTATTTTTGAGCTATTATAGCAAGAATGGTTAGCTCTTTATCTAAATCTTATATAATGTATGTTTAAAGTTTATGAGATTTGAATAAAATATATAGTTGGATTAATATAATGTGAACAAGTTGAAATTGTTACCAAATATAGGTGGTGGGTTTATTTTCTTCAGATTTTGGTAATTCTGGAGATGAAAATGGTGCTTTAAAACAATACTGGGCTTTAATAGAGGTGATTATTTTATCTTATTTACATTTATTACCATGGTTACATGTTATTTACCATGGTTACATGTTATTTACCATGGTTACATGTTATTTACCATGGTTACATGTTATTTACCATGGTTACATGTTATTTACCATGGTTACATGTGCAACGTGGAAGAAAAGGATTTAACCCAGAGCATTGATTTTAGGCATCTTTTCCTTGCCTTCATATTATCTCGAAATCATTTACATTATTAACACCAATCTCGTAATAAAAATCAGAAGTACTATAAACATAAAATCACCCTGTCAGAGTACTACATAGAGTTCCCTTGAAAGATCAAGACTATTTTTCTCTGGCCTATGGTGGCATGCAAACCATGTCCTAACTGAACACCTGGGGTTGGATGGCCGAATGGTTAGCGCCTGCGAGTTGTATCATAAGGTCTGTCATTGAGTCAACTGGCATGGTTTTGATTCCCCGGTTATACGTGACAAGGAATAGGGTTTCCTCTCCAACCTTGTTGGTGTTTCCTTTAGCTGTTAAATACCCCTACATGCAAGCGAATTATCGAAATAAAATTAAATCATACGTTAGTCCCAAAGTGACCTGGTTTGTGTCAAGTGGAAGTTAAACTCTCATTTTTCTCTCTCTCTCTCTCTCTCTCTCTCTCTCTCTCTCTCTCTCTCCCTAACCAATCATCTATCATGGCCCTTTTCGAATGAATGAAATAGAGTTGTTTATAGACGTTAAACGTTGCACAGTTCTGTATATAGATAAATTAAAGTTTCTACGTTTCGTTGTATTTCATCCTAATTCTTTACTTTTGGTTTTATCAGGCTAAATTCTGTAAAAATCTATCAAAAGCTCGAGAGATATGGAATAAAATAATGACGGAAGGTCACGGAAATGAGGCTGCGTTGTGGTTAGAATATTATAAACTAGAAAGGTAGGATCAATGTAGTGTGTTAGCCAGGTCATGCTTACCCATTGAACACCTGGTATCACTTTACATTATGTAGTGTATGAGGCAGGTCATGCTTACCCATTGAACACCTAGTACCACTTAACATGATGAGATTGTTTGA